ACAACGAATTTAACATATTCACTTACAATATTTTTGAACATTTAGGTACTTATTATTATACAAAAATAAATAACAAATATCCAGTCTTTGAATTGCGCCTTATCACAATATTATAAAATGAACACATTCACAATTAGCCGATTTCTTTTTTTAAAGATCTTWAAAAAAAAAAAGAAATCGGCTAATTCGGCCTGATATTATAAGAGTATCCGAATAGGATCAACAAGTTAAAGCCCCCACTTTAGTGTAAATTACTATATTGGTGAATAAACAATATAGGAACGGGTGGGCAGTATTGTGATGAACAGTTCACATCCGTTCCTGGTTTTTGMATAGGACTCGACTTTAATSACTAAATTCAATGATAATTCATTATTTGTATACAAAATCGATATTTTTTGTCGAAATTAATATTTTATATTATAGTTTATAATAGTTTATAAAAAAGTCCCTATGTAATTTTTAAGTTTAAATAGGTTTCTATATAATAACAAGTTATGAGAAACCTCGTAAAGCTCAGAGGTGTTTAAATTTAAAATTTGATGCATGCATTAAGTATTATTTGTAAATTACCGAGATGAATTTCGTAAAAATTTAAATTTTTAATCCTTAAAACGCAATTTTTTACATTTGATAGGTATCTAATGATAAGGATTTTTTTTTTTTAGAAATTTCAATATTAATATTGTTATGAGTTATATATAATATATTATATTATGAAAACATTGACAATGTTTACAAAAATAAAGAGTCAATCACGACAATCTAGTCGGTCTTGAATTGTATACGAAATAAACAAATAAAATATTTTAAAAACAAACACAACTACCTAATTAAACAATGATGATATAAATATGAAATAATTAATATATTTTTGTCACGCCTGCACCGAWAGTTTGGTTTTCGACCACGGTTGAAGCGTTGAAAATCAACCTTTTTCCGTCCAGCGAGCGGAAAAGAGGGAATCCCCAAAGTGCCGGACGGAAAAGAGGAAATCCCCAAAAATGCCGGGGGGAAAAGAAGAAATCCCTAAAAGTGCCGACCACCGGGAGTTTCTGGTTGTGCAGGGGATCGCGCCCGGCGGCCGGCACTTTTGTGGATTGATTTCTTCTTTTCCGCCCGGCACTTTTGGGGATTTCCTCTTTTCCGCCCGGCACTTTGGGGATTTCCACTTTACCGCCCGCTGGACGGAAAAAGGA